TGAATCGGTGATAACATTTTCTTCAAGCAATCTGACTCAATCTTTCAACTCAATCTCAAATTTGATATAACACAACCCTAATCTGACGTAAAAGAAACCATTTTGAAAAAGCAATTTGAGATCTTGTAATTGTAGAAAAGGATCTATAAAGTGCCACATCAAGATTATTGACGGCTCTTAAATTAAAAACAGAAATCAAAAGCCTTCATCAAATTAAAAAACCTTTGAATTAAGCAGTTAAATAAATCTATAGTAAGTGAGTGCTAGATAACAAGTTCATTCAATTTCCTTCCTCAGAATACAAATTAAATCTGGGAATAACTCAGAAATAGACACTTCAACCATTCAAGAAGCAATTAATCAAGTCAAATGTGTCAAAATACAAGCTTCCTCCTATTGATAATCCTAAATGGGAAATCCTGAGGGAATTTTCACATTTATTGAATTAATCCACATGAAACGGAGAAAGTTTCCGATTTGTATGAATTACAGCGAGGCAGTAAAATATAGATCCTGTCAAGTCCTATGACATAAACTAAATCATTCCAAGAGTCAAAAAGTGTTTTTTTTGTTAATCGCTTATATCTTAGCCATGTCAATTTGACAAATACTTAAGTCAATTATTACATGTTGAGAATGGCACAGCAAGTGGGAGGGAAACTGATTGCTTTAAGTGTGACATTTTCAAGAAAGCTAAACGTGGTTTTGATTAAAAACAAATACAAGTCCTTCTCCCTCTACCCTGCGCGCAGAGTCTAGTTATAAACTACCCTCAGCCTAGTATAGACTATATTACAGTTTAGCAGTCCCGTCCCGAAGATTGGTGCCTTTGACAGCCCGGGTAATGAATCATTTCAAATCTACCAAGCTGACCCTTTCTCAACCAATCAGTTAAGTGGAAGGAACACATTGAAGATAGGTGCTCATTAACTATGTGGGGATATCAGAGGAAATGACTGTATTTCGACGACAAACTCTGATTGGCTTGTTGAGATCAGAGATGTATTGTAAACTGAAAAAGTGAAGACGAAGCTCTCTTTAAGAAGTAAAGTTGAACAAATACAAAGGGTATCTCCCTCACCCTTTTACCCCAAAACCTAAAAACCATCATTTACAATTAAATAGAGAATATCTTTCATTAGACAAGTGGAGTCATCATTTAGCTTGAATTACTATGAAAAAGAGACAATGCCACTTTAATCAACTCATACAACCTAGTTGTACTGATTGCCACTTTAAGTTGTAGATATTATGCTAAAAGGCAAATGTAGTAGAAATCAAAAACAGAAGGTAATTACCACAAAAAGTGAAAAATAGGCAACATTTCCTCATGGTACAATACTTAACATTTTAAAAAACACAACTTGATGTTTAACAGACCCCATTAGCCTGGAAATGGACTTCACCTGGGAATGATGGATATACACCAACAACAGTTAAACCTGTTGAACACAAACACCACTTGGACTGGCCAAATATGTTCAGATTAGCAGCTATTCACATTTCAAGAAGACTATTTACACCACTTATCTGAACCTCATCAGGAAAGAATTCAAAACTATCAGGAATTATATTTAAATTAAACTTAAAAACTTGAAATTAGTTTGAAAGGGTGTCTCAGTATCTCTATTGCCTTTGGTGGTTCTTGCCCATATTTTGTGGTTGTTGCCATATTATTGTTTATCAGTTTATGTTGGACTGCTGATTGTGGCCATCTTTTCGTACCAACAGGCCCGTAGCCAGGGGGGGTTCGCAGAACCCCCCCCCCCTGGCCAAAGATTCTTTCAAAATCATGCAGTTTTTGACCATTTTGAGCATTTCTCAAGTGATTTTAGCCTAATTTGGGCCAAAATTGTCAAATGTGAACCCCCCCCTGGAATTTTTTGAAAATTGAACCCCCCCTTGGCAAATCCTGGCTACGGGCCTGTACCAATTACCCTAATTGGGTGGAACATACATCAACATCACACAGGTTTTGTGGCAAATGAGATCACAGGCCAAGCATTTTGTTTTTAACCTGTCAGATCAAAAAGGGTGTTTTCCCAGGAGACTTTGTAAACTAAATAATGGAGGATTTTCCCATTAAACTCTACAACCTTAATAAATCGTTTCTGTTTACATTTAGCCGATACATTCTCTTGCACATATAGTGTCAATCATCTCTCTGTACCATGCCTTAAGTTTACATAAAGAAAGCACTCATAACCAACCCACCACAACACATTTAGAACCTACAGAAAAAACACTAAGTTAAGAATCAATTGAGAAGACTTTATGAGACAACTGGGAGTGATATGATCCAATATCATTGCTCTTCAAGGCCAAATGAATAACAAATAAGCAAAATGATAACCTATACTCTTACTCTATTCAACCATGTTTTACTACCTCAAGAACTAATAATTGCTTTAACAAGGTGGCCAAATCCCCTCAACATAATAAAGAACATAGATTTGTTTATAAACATTTGGCCTCCAGCCTCACGCAATTGAAAATAGTGAAATAACATCCTGAAACCCAAAACAGTCTCCATAATGACTTTTGTAAATGAACCGGAGGTTTATTTTGCACCATTAGGCTAATTTTATAGCCCTATAGGCGCATTTGAGGTTGTGGCTCTTGCCAGATGCCTCTCTTTTGAAGCAAATGGTGTTTTATCAGGGAATTTAGTACCCTGCGTGCAGAGTCAAGTTAAACTACAGACGAAGCTCTCTTTTAAGAAGTGAAGTCAAACGAATGCAAAGGGTAGGAATTTAGCAGGCCCTTTGCTGATAAAACACATCTTTAAAGTACATGTTGACCAGGTTTGCTACACAGCCATTAGATATGGAATACTGTGAAACATGAACACCCAAACACCCCCTATAATCTCAACACTGCATTATGAACACTTTTTGGTCCCATTTTTTTAACCTGCCAAATAAACACTTTCGTGTTTAAAAAAACTTAAGATGTGAACACCTGACAATCTGAACACTTTTGGCCAGTCTCAGTGGTTCTATATACATGTATATTAAGTAGTCCTGCATATAATTCCAGAAAAATGCTCAGATATGTGCTTATTTACAAGGCAGCTCTGTTTAACAAATGTTATTTTGTCTGCCTATGCAAGACATATATGTATTCATATACATATTCCCCAAAGCAGAAACACAGTGATCTATTACAGATATTACTACGCAATTATAGAGCCAATAATTTTCTCATCAATTTTCATTATGCCATTACACATTTATGGCAGTCTATCGGGATAGGTATTGTAGCCTCAAAAACAAAATGATAAGGAGCATAAAAATAAAATCCCTGATGATTTAACCTTATGGCCAATTGCAATGATTGATGTTTTCCCCAAACATCATTAATTGTCTTTTTGAGGGGGTTAAAGTCAACTTGTTTTTATTGGAAACACCAATTTATATTTTTTTATGTGAAAGGAGGGGGTCAATTTGAAATGTAATTGATTGAGCCATATAAAAATAGACCTGATCCATTCCATTGCAACTTCATAATCTCTAGCAACAATTATGAAACACAGGCAGGTTACAAAGATTAGACAGGGTACCCCCTGTCCCATATATCCTATCATTCCATAAGGTAATCAATGACTTTAGCGAAAAGTATAATGTAAACCAATATGGAAGATAACTTAAGAGCAGGCATTGATACGTTGCCAGAACTAGACAGACTTATCAGTACTAAAGATAGGGAGTAGACAAATAAAAGATAAACTACAAAATATAAACATGTACAAATCCTGTCTGATGGAAATATAAATCACAATAAGGAATTTGTAGGAATTCTAGAAAACAAGCATGAAAAAATCCTAGAGGTTCTAAATGAACACGTAACATTCAGACATATTAAAATTCATATATGTTCTAATAATTCTTTTCTCATGTTAACTAATGATTGAGAACTGGACAGTTTCTTTTTGTTGCCTGTTCTGATTCTACTTACTCAAATTACAAGTCTAATTTCTATTTTTAGTCTTAACAGAGATTTTTTATCTCACCCTAGTATAGATTAAAGTCATGTTAGTTAAATAATAGATGAACCGAGATAAGTCAGTGAAATATTGGCACCAGATTCAATGTATCTGGGGGGCATTAACAGAAACTTCTTAAATTTAAGAATTCATAAAATCTATTGTTCTCTGATTGTGACGTCATTATATCCATGGTTACAACTTTCCGAAGATTCTGTTAAATGACCGCCTGGTTCATAAATGGACATGGAGAAATTACAAAACAAATCAAAATGGACTTTGGAATCCTCAAAAGATGAAATACCATGCAAGCAAAACTTACATCAGGAGCTATACAGATTATTGAGGAAATTAGTAATCTATCCCAATTTCCATTGACAATTTGTATAGTTATAGCTGTTGGTTGATAGCATATAAGTTTATTACATTAATTTTTGGTTATAGAACATTGCAGAATCTGATAGGGTGGGCAAGTATACGCTTTCTGTTGGTGGATTGCAGGCCTTTTTGGCCCTTTTATAATACAGGAAATCAGTTTAGTGATGACACTTTATTATAGAGCATCCTTACAAAATACAAATGCTGAATCAAAATTGTCAAATATTTCTTCTTATAAACACCATGACCTGTTGTGATTCATAAATATACTATAAAAAAAAGATTGAGCTAACTGTGTATTGTGACATTGCAATTGAATCTATCAAGCATATTACTCACCATTTCCCTTATTCCTGGTAGCAAGTAACCTACTTCCATGCATTACATTCATCTCCCATCTCGCACTTAACCATACCACATGCACCACAACCCCCCACACCCTGCCATTCATTCCCCTTATGCCCACTCCTGTCAGACTACTAAATGCCATACTGTACACAGTGCATAATACATCCAGTCAGAATGACACACAAAACATATGTTCTGTCAATGCTGAATGAAGATTTGACATAAAATACGACAGGTGTAAAATAAGGCACTATGAAAATAATAATAAAGGTACTATAAAATGGCATACATCCTAACTCATCTGAGCCATCGGAGCAGTCCTTGTCTCCGTCACACTTCCAGTTATAAGGAATACAGAGCTTTTTGTCGTCACACTGGTGCCAGTGGGGCTTGCAGGTAGCTGGAGCTGGAAAGACACATTTCAAAAGTGAAACCATTTAATATAACAAATAAGCCACCAATACATTGACAGATGGACAGACAAGTGAGTGATTATAATAGCTCAATTACTGCAAAAACTCTTAACAAAGCTGTAATTTCAATATTCTCTTCTTACAAGCTTATGTGACATCCCTGTTACACATCTTTCTTCATGTGATCTTAGACTGAGCTCATTTATGCAGACCAAGAAAAAAAATTAACCATCATAATCTTTAATATTCTATAAACTTCATTACTATATTATTTTGCTCTTAACAGGCTCAATATACAACATGTCAAAAGGCAACAGGGGTCAGGAGAGAAAGATGACACATGTTGAATGAATAATATAAATTCAGACTGAAGCTATAAACCCCCGATTGGAATGAAAGCATAAATTGCTTTGAAGTGACCCATCCCAAATCAAACTTACGACAATCATGTTCATCCTCTCCCCCAGGGCAGTCAAGGTCACCATCGCACTGCCACCTGGCGGTGATGCATGTAACATTGTCTCCTGAACCACATTGGAAAAGATCCTTGGGGCATGGTGTAGCTGATACTGAAAATATACAGAACAATAGGTTTACACCGAGAGCTTACATGATTCAACCCCATGCCCATCAGACTACGATGGCTGCACTAAGTTTGAGATATACAAGTGTCCTAGACAACGCAAATCCCCAACCCCCAAAAAGGTTTTTCATCAGCTTTAGATAACAAGACATATAGCTAAACATATTGCACTAGAAATTCAAATTAAGTACTCGGACTAAGCCCCTGTTTTAATTTTATATGTTCATCATATCACTTATTCTTGATCATTTACTTCATTGATCATATGCTATAATGAATTGAATTTTGAATTGTTAAAAAAGTCTGAAGTATTTTTAAATTTCTCTTGCACTGAATAGCTCAAGCCACAAAATCATTTCTGTGGTTTTGAAGGGGATTCTGTAACACTGAATTGTACAAACATATCTGTAAAATACTACTGTATATTCAATGAATGTACAAATGTCACAAGAAATGAATACAAGAAACGTTTATCACTCTTGGGATACAAGAAACAATTTTCTCTATATGGCCATTTCCTCTCGTTATTATTTGATGAGATGGACACTGGCAGAAGGAGCAGGGCAGCTGAACTGTAAAACTGCCAAACTTATCCAGAGTTTAGTTTAGAACTCAGGGCACATTCAATGAAAATGATTCGCCTTCTTTTTGAAGGGAACATTCATATAATTCTTCTCACAAACTTCCGTCCAGCAGCACATTTCAAGATTTGAGAAGGTACCCTGATGTGGTTAATTGTACTGGAAAATATAAAAGAATTGAACATTTTCACCATTTGTAAAAAAATCCCAATAGAACTCTGTAATCAGAAGCTCAGGGGGTTAGAAGCTCCTTTAAAGATGTCAAATCAAACTCTTAAAAAACAACTCTGTTAATCAAACCCCAAGAAAAAGCTTTAATCTGATCTTCTTATCTACTACTAAATACATCAAACTCTCTTTGAAGGCCTTCAGGGAGTTCACTGGGATCAATAGGACCAAATTGAACTCAATCAACCTTAGATCTTTCAGATTCAATTGTAAATATGTCTTGTCAGAAATAAGAAGAATTCTCTGTGGAACTGACCAATACGTTAGTTAATCAAGAAAAAAAGAACATTAATTTAATATTCATCACATCTTTCCATTTTGCAAATCACAATCTGACTGATATGAAAATGGAAGATGGAATGAATGCTGATGCTTAAAAATGAGGTTTCTATGTTATATAAATGTGACTTTATTCCTGGACCCTAAGCAACAAGTATATGATGTTTTAAAGAGATTATTAAGGGAATTCAATAACTGTTATATCTCTAGTATACTAATATCATTTGATCTGTTTTATAAGATAGTTATTTAACTTATTTTGCAATTTTGTATTACTATTGAGATTGCATCACAACCACTCTTCTTCCTTTTCCCCTACTCTTCTGACATTTAATCCAAAGTACAGGATCATCAAATTATATGAATTCCCAAGTAAGACTATGATAACCTGTTGCATATGCAGTAAAACCTGTATATATGAACACTTCTTTAATCTGAACACCTCTCAATGTGAACACCCTTTCTCTCTCATATTTCATGCTGCCATACAATATTGTGATACCTGGAAATGTGACCACCTGCTGAATGGGACATGTAAGGCCAGTCTAAGTGATGTTCATATGAGACAGGTTTTACTGCATATGTTGCATATACCTTTCAACATAAAGATACCATATCATATCATTTTTATCGGGATTAACAGCCATCAAAATATATCTAGAATGCTACATTCTAAAGTAAAATATATCAATTCTCAATTTCACCACACCCTTAACTCTTGTAGAGAAAAAGTAATATTTATATTTTCTTGATTAATTAGTAAGTGCAAGTCTGCAATACAAATGCCTTTTAGAAAATAATTTGGCAGAAAAACATAAATATGTATGTGTTGTGTTGATGGGGTTCACAAGAGCCTGAAGCAAGACTAGTGGACAGCACCATTCATGTAACCAATATAAACAATAATATAAATTAAATATACAATATAAAAGATATTTATGTATCATAAACCCTGTCTCATTAACCTTTACCATGCTGCCTTATTTCAGCAAATATATCCCACGCAACTGACTTATTTTTCAAAGAGTGCAAAAAATGATATACCTGGACTAAATAATTAATATCTCAATAACTACTGAATGAATCTGGATAAAATTTTCACAAAGGGAAGATACAGTGGCCTGGCTCATGAAAAAAATGTTCTCATGAATTTTTTCGTACATTAACACGACTGGGTATAAATATACCATAAATACTCCTCCGGAATCCGCCGCTCCGCCTCTTCGTCTGGTCAGAATCCAAATCTGAATTTGCAGCGATCGAATGTTCAATTTTTCAATTCAGAAAATATTCTAGTTTCTATTTTCGATGACCGTTATCGGCTTCCAAGAGCCTAAAGAGCTCGAAATCGTAATCCATTTCCTCCACATTTTCGTTGTGATCGTATTTGTCCACCATTTTGTTCGATTCGTTCACTAAAAACGACTAAAACACTGTTTAAATTGTTGAATTGAGAATTATTTTTCGAAATATCGCCATTTCTAGGTCAACAGGAAGTCATGTTAGGCACTGAATAAATCGGGCAATCTAATTGGACAATACGAATGGCGCGAAAAAGTAAAGTTTTTAAAAGTTTGAAATCGGGCGTACGGGTCCGCCGGCAGTTGTGAGAGACATTTTAGTCTCGGCGGACGAGTCCGCCGGCAGCACGCTAAAGGTTAATATGTGAGTCAATCAGCCAGTGTAAAATTGGAACCAGAAAAGCTGTTCACATTGACAGATGTTTGGATAGAGTGGTGTTCACATTTGCAGGTTTTACTGTACTTCAAGGATAGAATTTATTCAAACATATACTTTTTTATAATATTTTTACCAAGAAAGACCTACAGCCTAATAGAGATAACAATAATATTAGGTTTGACATTGAAACATAAGTAAATCATCTGTTCTATTTCTTGCTTGACATCTTGGCAAAATTGACGTACTTCATAAACACCGGTTCACTGGTATTCATTAACATTGACCCCAGTAACACATCTATCATGTTGCATTACAAACAATATCTCAGTTACTATACTGCTTCATGAAATGTGGAGATTCATTTCTGTATTGGAAGTTTTCCCAGACCTGTTTTCTGGTCTGGTCTGGTTGTTTCAGGAAAAACATGCTTGATAAAGAAATATAGTCAAGTTCTGGGAGATTCCTTTCCTTCATATTGAAGATTTTGTGACTGCAAAGCAGAAGAGCTGACATTAAATAACTTAAATGTTCTTAAGTATAATGCATATATCTAAATGGCACATGGTGCATTTATGGCTCTTTGTGAGACTTAACAACCTTTTAACTAGTTTTTTATCTAAAAAAAACATTGCTATTTCCAAAACAGAAAGCTCATTAAATTCCTCATATAATACCAATACCAATTTAGTGAGCAAATTGAATGTATTAAGCAAACATAACATGGTTTAGTGTAATTGATAGAATAATAGTAGCATTGGCATTCATCATAATTACACATCAGTAGAATAACAAGCCAGTAAATAATACTGCTACTTTGTAATTCTCCTTTTCCTGTCATTTATTTTCTCTTAAATGGAGATAATTCCAATGATCTGACAGTTATTCCCTCAGTCATCAAAATCATCCATAAAATATTTCTTAATTTAGGATTTTCTCATTTGGTGTGCAGATAGTATAAATTGACTTAAAACATGTTATTGGAAACTTCTATCATCCAGAATGTTATATCTTTTAGGTAAACTTGATCTGATATGATTTAATGTTTAATGGTAAACTCCCCAATATCCCCTTACATATATTGACATTCATAACATGACAGTCAATGGAAGCTAAAAGTAAGCAACATGTAGAACAGAAATAAGACACAAGAAGGCAATACCAAAAATGAGCTAATAAAAACAATGATGCAATATATGAAGCAAATGCCTACAATGTCAACTCAGAGAATATGTTCATAAAATATATTCAAGATCCATCACCACGTACAAAATGTTACAGAAGTGTAACCAGTTGTTACACATACCAGTAACCAACATTGAGGTCACCAGAAAGTAACAAAAGCTGGTAGCTAGAACATAATAACAACATACCAATGTCATAATATCAAGAACAAACCTAACAGATAAATCAAAAAGCCTCTTAATCTGAAGAAAAAATTAGAAAAATCTATAACATCCGAGCAAACCAAGAGATAATCCTGAGAAAGTTCCATATGTCAAGCAGAAGCACTTCCCAGATTACCAATAAGTCTAAATTCAACAGAAACTGCTTGACCCTTTAGAGTAGCAGAAATTGATTGTTAATAAAGAAATTGCAAGACCTCTAATTAATAAATCTGCCCTTCAAGGGCAATTATTCAGATGTCAGTAGCCAATGATGAGAAATGTGACATATTGATTCTATTGAGCAAAGAACTGAGTCAGAGACAAATATTTAGTAAATGTATAATTATTAAAACGCTTTTATTAGTGCTTAGCAGTGAACACCTGAAAATCTGAACACTTCTGACCAGTGGTATCTGGATAAGATAAGGTAGTTTCCCTGATATAATTTTAAAGTCAAAGCACCAATAATAAAATCTTGTTAATATTGTTAGGTTTTATTTGTCTTATTTTTGACAATAGTAGATGTATGAACAGATCAAATGAGAGAAAACATAATTATTTCTACAAGTCTTCTATTGTACATCATGAAATCAGTATTTTGTTAATTTGAAAGAGATCCGATTTAAAGCCTTTTACTTCAAGGGACAATGGGAGACTATGTTAATCTGATTCTGTATTGTGATCATGAGATATTACTACTAGAGGATTAAAAAAATAAACACAGCGTTGCCGGCATGTTTTAGAATACCCTCAAAACACATATGTATATTTTATTGTACATTTGCACTTCAATCGAGATTAGACTTTGAACAACTTCAAAATCATGGCATATC